CACATTTTAACTTGAATATTTCTCGGTATCTTTCGTTGTTATGGAGAACATCAATATAAAGGGAAAGTTCGAGATATTTTCTCAGGAAGCAGAGGTTGTGCAACCACCCTTGGTTGCCATTAACTTTGCGTCTGAGGAAAGGCTACAGGCAATACCTAATGTGGGTGCAAGCCTAGCCAAGGCGCTCATTGCAGTGAGGGAGAGCTCTGGTATTATAACCAGGGAGATTTTAGAGGCTGTCTGTCGTCGCAAGTTCTCCCCTGAGATACTTTAGACAGAATATGTCTCTGTCAGTTAAGAATACTGACAAGCTAGGCCAATCTAGCTTGGAGGTAGACACAGACGAGGACGAGGAGGAAGATATTCAGCCAAGTGCGCATGATTGGTTGGAAATGGTGAAGGTGGTGAAAGCGGCAACCAATGTTCTGGCCGCTCACAAGCAGCAACAACTGTCATCTGTTTGCACCCTTGCAACAGATGACAAGGTTTTTCCACATAAAAATCTGAAGTTGATGACTCCTGCGGATTTTACTGCCAAAAAGTCAAAATCCACACACCCCCCTACCTTACCACTTCCAGACTATACCACCCCTAAACGTACCATACGTTTTGACCAGGTAGTGGATAGTGATTGCAGTGATGACTCTATGTTTGCCAGGGCACCATCTGCCCATAGGCGTTCTAGGGTTCGTAACCGGATATCTGCCTTTCCCGAACACTTATCATATGATGGTAAGAGTACTTGGGAACCGTTCTTTTTAAAGTTCACTCGCTATGTCCAACAAGGCGAGTGGACTGATGAAGAACAAGTTAGCTGCCTTGTCTGGTGTTTAGATGGTAAAGCGCTCGAGTATTATGCGCTTATCTGTGAACAAGAAGGTCAGCTTACCTACAAGAGGCTGGTTAGCAAGTTGGCTACCCGATTTGGCCAACATGAGTTGCCAGCTGCTGCACAGGTAAGTTTTCAGAATGCAGCACAAGAGACAACCGAGTCCCTAGATGAGTGGGCTGACCGAGTGCTCACTCTAGGTTATAGAGCTTTTAAGAAGCTGCCAGAGGAGTTTGTCACTGTCCAAACAGTGAACAGATTCTGTCAGGGTATGGTTGACAAAGAGGCCGGTCTCCATGTTTGCATGCAGCAACCCAAGTCTGTGCATGCAGCCATACAAATGGTACGCCAGTACCAGCAGGTGTACGCAGCCATGTATGGTGACCGGAAAAAAACAGAAAAGGTTTTTGCTGTTGCCTCCCAGCCATCACGGGAGCAGCAGGCAGAGGATATGTCAACTGATGATTTAAGCGAAGCCTTAAATGACCTGGAGCAAAGACTGACAAAAACCTTTTTGTCAGAATTGGCCCAACCCCGCAGATCAACCGGATGCTACAATTGTGGCGAAATAGGGCATTTAAAAAGAAATTGCCCAAAGCTTAACGACAACCATAAGTCGTTAAACTAGAAAGGGACGGTGAAAAAGTAGGTCGTTTCCCGTCCCTGTCTGCAGACAAGATCTGCAAAATTAAAAAATCCCGGTTGGCTGCCAATTTCAGCCAAGTAAGCACGGGGGGAGTCGAACCAGACCCTATTGTTGTCTGTCAGGTCAATTCCTCTTCCCAGTTTACCATGGGGGTCCAAGTAACAGCAGTGGTAGATACTGCTGCCCAGGTGACCATCATTTCAGATAAGGTCTACAATTCCCTGAAGAACCTTCCAAAATAAGGGATGTGAAGCTGCAAACCGCCGGCAGGGAATTGTCTATGGCAGCATTCGTAGCCGGTCCAATGAAACTGAAAGTTGGTCACCACTGGTATCAGGTCAACATGTATGTTGCTCCCATTGAGCAGCAAATGCTGTTGGGTTTTGATTTGCTTCGTGATCCTGGCAAATCTGTGCTAGACATGAGCAAGGCAGAGCTCTACTTTGATGGTATGCGCATCTCCCTAGATGTTCATTCATCCGATAGTCCTGTGGTATCCAAGGTCACGGTGTCTAAGAGACAGGTTATCCCTCCACACTCTGTTGCGAGAGTCCAATGCAGGTTGCACTCTCCCCTGCATAGCTATATCGTGGAACCAGTGAACCAGAAGAAATTTCTGGCTCCCCGAGTGTTACATGAAGGCACTAACACCCCTGTGTTGTGTCTTGTTAATCCATCAGATAGCTACCGCCTTTTCAGGAGAGGAACAGAGATAGGGAGGGCATATGCCATCAGTGAAGTTGTCAGGAATGAGTGTGATGTTGAAACATCTTTGCCCAGCAAAGTGTTTGAAACATCGGGTGCGGTTGGTCCAATACCACCACCCCTGCAGGAGGTCTATGACACCTCTTGTGGCAGCCTTGATGAAGGTCAACGGATTCAATTAGCGCAATTGCTGATTGAGTTCCAAGATGTCTTCATCAAGGGTGAACTTGACCTTGGTGACTTCACTGATAAGGAACGTGATACAGATACCGAGGAGGCAAAGCCTGTGAAGCAAGGTATGAGGCAAAAGCCTGCATGCTTTGCAGGGGAAGAAGAGGCCCAGCCTCAGGAAATGCTGAATGCTGGGGGTGTACAAGATGCCACATCCAAATGGGCATCTGCTCCAGTTTTGATTAGGAAACATGACGGCTCTGTGCGTTATTGCATAGACTATAGGAAGTTGAATAAGGTTACAGTCAAAGACGTGTATCCTTTGCCTTTAGTCGATGATTGCATGGACACATTTGCTGGCAGTGTTTGGTTTTCAAAATTGGATGCCAACTCCGCATTCTTCCAGTTGAACATCAGAGAAGGCTTTGGTTTGTGTGGTGCCCCAGCCACATTTGCTAGAGCAATGGACTTAGTCCTGAGAGGTTTGACATGGAAGACAGTCCTGGCATTTCTCGATGATATCATCGTGCTTGGACGCAATTTTGAGGACCATCTCTCAAACTTGCGGGAGTATCTTTCGAGATTTCGGAGGCATAAGCTAAAGCTTAAGCCGAAGGAATGTATCTTCTTCCAACAAGAAGTAGAGTTTTTAGGCCGTAAAGTCGGCAAAGACAGCATTGCTATGACAGAACATGACATAGCAGTGGTGAAGGATTGGCCTGTTCCAAACAGTGCCAAGCAGGTAGAGAGGTTTATGGGGTTGGTAAACTATCATAGAGTGTTTGTTAAGGACTTCTCTAGGGTAGCAGCCCCATTGTACGCCGTCACAGGCAAAGCCAACTTTGTCTGGGGCGAAGAACAAGCAGAGTCATTCAGGACTTTGAAGCGCTTGTTGACGCAACCTCCAGTGTTAGCGTTGCCAAATCAACATGATGAATTTATCTTGGATACGGTCGCTTCCAATGATTCGATTGGAGCAGAGCTCTTGCAGGTTCAAGAGGGCCAAGAGAAAGTTGTTGCATTTGGTAGCTGTGCTCTTACCAAGGAGCAACAGGGTTATTGTATGACCAGGAAAGAGCTGCTAGCAGTAGTTCGGTTCACCAAACAGTTCCGACACTACTTGCTAGGAAGACCATTTGTGGTTAGGACTGACCATTCAAGTCTGAGGTGGTTGATGAATTTCAGGGAGCCACAAGGGCAACTGGGGAGATGGCTGGAAGAGCTGTCCCAGTTTAACATGGTGTTGAGACATCGTGTGAGTCGCGAGCATTCCAATGCTGACGCAATGTCAAAAATACCACTGCAAAGTGGGACATGCCGAGGTGGAATTGCTGGTGCGCGGCTGGATCAGTTGCCTTGTGGTGGATGTGAAGATTGTAAAAAGGCCCATACCAATTGGGTCAAGTTCTTCACAGATGTAGATGAGGTGGTACCGTTGGTAACCAAACCAGTGGAGTCTTCGGATTCCGGTTTAGGTGGCCAGCAGGGTACCAGGGTTTCTGTCATCTACGGGATTGATTTTCACGAAAACCAATCAGATACAGATGGCCAGCCGGTCCTTGCCAATAAGGTCGGTGAGCATGGTCAACAGTCCCTCTCTGAAGGCCAAATCTTCAGTGGAGGGGAAGAAAAGGTAAGTATAGGTTGCGTTAGGGACCGAACATCTGATATCAGGGCCATTCCTGATAATGTAGATGCTCCGTTGCTGGCACAGATTTTAGAGGATATTCCCTGTGGCCAGCAAGGATCTCGGTGCCCAGTGCCGGGATGTTTTGAGGATCTTACCCAGAGACATGCTATGGAGGCCCACCTCCCTGGCATATTCCAAATGTGTTTGACAGGTGAAAGCATTACGAACAGAAGGATTGGTGCTTTGAAGCTGGTGATCAGGTGGTTATTGGGGTCTAATAGCACTTTGTTTGACCTGGTAACTTACCTGGAGTGTGCTGGTGTTCAGGTTTCTCAGGAAACTTGCACCAGTAATCACAGGAAAGCAGCGAAGGAGTTCTGTGAGGTTTTAGGGTACCCTTGCCCAAAGATCTCACCCCAAAGGTAAAAGGTAATGCTGTGACAGTTTTGTTGCAGTGGCGCTGTCTACTGTCATTGATATCCATGCTGGAAAGACATCAGGAAGACAATCTGAAAGCCATGTTCAGCTTGTCAGCAGAGGAGTCCCAACTCCTTAGCTTTCCTAAAGTGTCTGACAGCCATTGAGTGTCTGGGTTTGAGGCTTGGCTGAAATCAGTATGGTTCAGTCAAGTAGGCCATGTTGTCCAGCCCTCTGGCATCATGGTCAAGTACCAGTACCGGTATGAACCGGGAAGCTCTAGTCTGCCCTTGCACTAGAGAGGCGTCAGTGCTTGGTTAACTTCCTGGAGCCACAGACCCCTCCTAAAGAATAGGACGGGGAGGAGTGTAGTACCGTATGGTACTGGTTATGGGAGTTGACGGAAGTTAACGGAAGGTTCCGGACCAACCGGAACTAGTGTGTTTAGTCCGACAGTTGGGCGCCATATTTGTGTATAATATATACTAAGAAGAATTAGGCAATTCCTAGCTTGGCTACGATCCAGACGTGGAAGGTAAGTCGATTGTTTGTATTGTCAATCCCTTTATAATCAATCGCGACAGTTCTATACTATAAATATATCATCAGGGAATTCCCCAGACGCTTTTAGCGCATCGGCACCGATGCGCTAAAATTTCAGAACAAGAATTCCCGATGCGCTTAAAATTATCATAGCGCTATAAAAAATGACCGATATTCCTTCCTATCGTGTCTATAAGTTAACCCCAATAAGCCAAATATACAAGCCAATATACATGTACATGTCCTGTGTAGATAATTACCCGAGACGTATACACAACCCGATACACTGATTGCCTTGAGACTGTGTGACGTCACAGACACCTGTCATCGATGTCTGCAGACGACTGTTGGTGCATTTTCAGGTGTTGTCATTACCGTGTATTGAGATTGGTGCAATTTAACCGCGGCATGTGTGATATTTACATGTTTCAGGTAGGTGTAATAACTTTTATTGTTTTGATAGTATAATTGGCATTAATTGACATGCGATATAACAGTTTGATATTTAAGGATGAATGGGTTATTTATCTTGATATTAGTGTTATGTTCAATTTCATCTTTCACTTTCTTACGATCGTTACGTCTAAGCAGTACTGTAGTATTAAGATTTCAAAAAATAATATGCGCCTAGATCACTATCAATTAAGGGTTTTTTGGTGAGCAATGTCGTTAAAACTGTCTCAGGATCATTTTGCTTTTTAATATATACATGATAATCGGATTTTACTTTGATTAAACTGCATAGATATTAAGAAATAAATTTGATTGATGGGTACTTTAACTTTGAAAACATTATCGACTGTTCATTATCAACTTGCAACTGAGTGAAAACAACAACAAAAACTTTACATCAACAATCCCACTTAGTGACAGCCCATTGGTCATTTTCTTTTTTAATTGAAAAAAAAGAGTAAAAATATCTTGTAAACTGTTTCTGTTAACTGAATCCCCAAAATGAAAAAAAAAAATATTTTGCAGGCCCTCTTTAATCGAGTCTGTTCATGGACAGCTTTGTGAAGTGCAATCTACTGTCCATGCCCCTATAAAGCATTGGTTTGTCAGGACATACAGGAGCTGGCCAGGCACTTTGGTGTAGATATGGAGCAGTGGCACGGTACATGCCAGTCTAGAGGGGACTGATCAGTAAGCCCACCAGACCATAACCTTGATTACCGGCAACCTTTCTACCAGTCATCCAGCTCTTTACATAATTGTTGCTGTGGGTCTCCTCTCCCCAACCTCTACTGCAGGTCATTGTTATTAAATTGATTCATTCTTGGACATTAATGAAATTCCAATGACAGTTGCAGATGTGTAACACTTTGCTAGAAGTTTTTCAACATTTCAAATATAATTATTTTTTACTTAGTTAAGTTTAAACAGACTGGAAGTTTTAAATTTTCAAAAATTCATAGCAAACAAACAAAATAAATAAAAGACATCAGGTTAACATAAATGATTACTTTCATTTATTAATTTCAGATTGTGAGCGAGGATTCAGCTGCTTGAAGAGAGTTAAGACTGAAAACAGGAATTGTCTCTCTGTTAAAGTTCTAAACTATCTTCTTGCCGTCTCCCTTCAAGGACCCCCATTAGAATCTTTCAACTTTGAGAAGGCAGTTAAGGCATGGTAACAGGCCCATTTTTAATGATGTTAATGAAGAAAAAACAACTGAAATATACTCATTTAAATGGGACACACACATACATATAAATGTTGATCACATGTTGTGAACTTATATATAATTGTTTATTCATTTGAATTGTTGGATATGGAAAAAATAAATAATAAAAATAAGCTTTCATTATTTGTTTTAAAACAGCCCACAGCAGTATCTTGACACCTAAAATAGCAAAAATTTTCGACACGCGGTATGGGTCCAAGACCCCCTCCCGCACCCACCCCCGTCTAAAAAAAGTGTAGCGCTTAAAAAAAATCCTGGGGAATTCCCTGTATCATACATATAAGTTCAGTGCAAAGTTGTGAAGTCTCACCCAGAATATGTGTAATACAACGTGAAATATTGATCAACAAGACATGTCAAATAAACTTTGATCAAGTAGAAGGATATAACAAAAAAGTAAAAAAAAAAACAATTTTCTGTATCGCGAAATCTCATGTCAAACAAGTTTTCATATGATTGTACAAGTTTACCCATAAATATCATCTCCTGCATTATATTCACTTTTGTTTGTACGCAAATTTATCTCATTTGTCATGATATTAATAACATTTTTGACGATAAATTTATTTATTTTCCACAGTTTCCTTTCTTTTTTATCTACTTTAACGAATATTAATAAATAAGCATCGTGGTGGGACTGTGTAACCGCACGGCCAAGATATAAATCACCACATGACTAAGATAGTACTTTGGTTCAAAATATCTTTCATGATAACGTTTTTTTTTATGTTGGAAATATATAAATTCGTTCAATTTAGAGTGCATTATAAAATAATAATTATTATAATATTACAATAATAAAAATAATAAAATCGGGTTCAAATTCGATAAGCTTGAATTATGATTTAAAAAGCATTTCAACGATAACCCGTGCTTTACTATATTAACGTAAGTTAAAAAAAATACTTTCATTCAAACATGCTCATAGAAACAGAATAGTTGAAAACTTTGAAATACTTTCAAGAAGTAAATTTCTAGACATCATTTTGGTTTACTAATTGACCGATGACGACACATTATGCATGTGACATGTATGCATTCATATAATCCGTGCATATATCATGAATTCGACGGTCCAGTTTGTTTAATAGGTATAATGTGAAACCTTTTTAGTATGCTTTATTTCAACGAAACATATCATACGAACAATAAATATACATGTTTCAACAAAAGCTATTTAAAGCTTTAATAATCTTATATAATAATAAACTCGTGAACAATATACATATAATTTAGATGAATTCATATACAGACGCCCGCATTCAACTTATATTTGCCAAATCCATATTTGCCAAAAATGTTTTTTAACAACTAAATGTTAACTTTTGTACTGCTATATATAGACCAAACTAACATTTCTGCACCATTTACAAATTATAGGACAAACACTGAAACAAGAAGAGGACCGCCATTTCTAAATTCAGCTGTTTTAGTTTATTCAATTTAACAGAAAGTCTGGATTGAATCTTCATCAAGAAACTAAGACTCAATATAGATTAGCGGAGATCATGAACTGTATTAAACACCAAATTATCGGTCTCCCTAATTACCGACAAGAACCGTCAGGAACCGACAAGAACCGACAAGAAGTAAAAATAGGAAAATACGAATTAATTTCACTTATTCCAAATTATTGACGTCTGCAAAATATAAACTAAATAGAAATAAAACAACAACAACAAAACACACACATGAGATACATGTATGATCACGTGATACATTTCATTTCACACTTTGTTTTATAAAATGAAGCGTTTGTGCTTTAAAATTGGAATATAATGATATCAGATCTTTCATCAGCTTCTTTTTTGTAGGACACAATATACAGTCCGATACCTTTAAGTTATCAAATTTATTTGTGTCATAGTCTGTAGCTGGGAATTCTTATCCGTCAGCTAGTTTGTGAAAGTATATCATTTATTACAAAATATCCAGACCTAAAACTAAATCATATTTAGGTTTTCTATGCAGCAAATGAGTTTCTTTAATACCCATATACCACCTATCACTGTTTTATTTATGCACAAAAGATAATGATGGATGGATGAAAGAGAGATGACAACAATAATTACCACTAGTTGTTATATTAGACCTGTCAGAACGCATTTTGTATTTTACTTTTATTTAATTTGTAAATTATCAACAAAATGCAGGATGTCGTTGCACCAGTTTCTCATATTACATTTGATATTGAGATTGCTCTCAATAATCAACTTGGATCAATGCCTTTACCCTTCCCTGGAATGGACAGTAAGCTTTTCAATTAGTGTATATTATTCGGATAACATTAATTCGGACAAGTACATGTATGCTTTTCTCTCGTCGATTCGTGACTCTTATTTGGAAAAATTGCACTTGCACAACAAATATCAGACATACATACAGTTCAATAAGTGCATTTGTTAAATAAATTCATTATCTAAAAGTTCAAAAACTTTAAATTACTTCTAAAAACAACAGCTCAAAGATTAGAGCATCTGAACATGTCAACCATGACTGTCTTGCTCAGCTGGACGCTTACCCATCGATTCGTGAAATCCGATTCACCCTGTGACGTCATCAAAATATAGGTGCTCACACCACTAAATGTTCGCATGGTTATTTTCAGTCCGATCTGATCAATATATGTTTCTAAGTCTTAAGTAAATTTTAACAGCATAATGAATATTTTTTTGGCTTAATATTAAGTGTGTTTGATAAATTAATACATCAATATCGAATATTTTAAAGTAATTAGGTCATCAGCTGATTGTAGGGTAAGCTCATTTACACCTGTTCAATTACGCATTTTGATTGGATAGAATTGTCAAATGGAGTGTCTAATAAAACTTGTGTAGTTTTCGGATGGTGTATGTTCTTGCAGAAGTATTTATTCCAGACAATAATTTAGGTCACGAATCGATGAGAAGGCACGAATCGATGAGAATAAGGCATAGCATGAAAGTGATGAAACCCTTTTGTACCGATCTATTAATTTCCAAATTACATTTGCAAATAAAAAAATAACATCTGTCATTTTTATACGGTATTGTAAACCTGAAAAATCCTTGTGCATTAAAAATGGTGGTGCCAACTAGAAATGATAGAAAAATTCACTGATAAGTATTGAATCCAATATATTTTTGTATCGTCTTTTATCCGATTTCCTTTAAGATATACACATATAGTATATAGCCTGGCAAACAAAGCCGGGCACTATTTGCTCTCTCGGCTACTTTAGTTATTAAAGGATGTCAGGGAGATAAACAGAAGACACAATTATACCTCAGGGCCCATGTCGTGCGCGGGCGGCGCTTAATGTTTACAATCATTAGCGACCCAATGGATAATTATTTACTAGAAAGATTAATTTATATTTCGTTTTGAATCGTAGCCTAAATTTTTTTAATCTATTATTATTTTAAATGAATTTAGAGACATCAGGTCACTGAAATTTTGAGTAGCCCGACGGGACATCCAGCTTTGAAACTCAGGTAGTTCTTGAGGAAAATAGGTAGCCTCGGGCTAATGGACCATCGTTGGTGTCGAGCCCTGAATTATGTCATATAGAAATTTTAATGTTGTCAGTTGCGTTTGTTGTGAATTGTTGATTTTTTATTTCAGAATCTGGAGCTGCCATATGTACATTTTTCTTGACCTCAGTAGGATGTAGTAAGGCAACAGCTTGTCCATTTAGACACATAAAAGGGGAGAAAACTGTGGTCTGTAAACATTGGTTGAGGGGTCTCTGTAAGAAGGGAGATGACTGTGAGTTCTTGCACGAGTTTGACATGACAAAGATGCCTGAATGCTTCTTTTTCAGTAAATATGGTAAGTTTAGACAGTCTGTTATAAGTTGATATGTTTCATCTTTTTTAAATTGTAATAATCTTATTCTTATTTATTGTCTTATCATAATATTAAAATATATCTTTATTAAACCTTAAACTGCCTATAAGATGTGTAATTATGTCCCAGCCAGAGTGCTATTTGCCTATTAGCAGACATGTTCCATCCGCAGTTCCAACTATTTGCCTGCAAGACAAGATAACATGTCCCACTTACAGTACCATATTTCCGTAAAAGATACATGCAGGTCTCGACACTAATTTTTTCAGCAGGTAGTATGCCAGACCACTGGATCCAAAATTCAGGTGGTCCTTTCTGAACACACTGAGGTGGTCCATCTTTTTTGTTACTCATTTGTTTTTAAGGAAACTTCAGATTTAGAAGAACTACACTTGAAATTGGTGACAGAGACATATTTATTATTAGATTTATAACAACTGAAGAAAACATGTTTTTTTTCTATTTCAATCTTAGATCAGATAGTAAGTCATTGTAATCCTATTAAGTATTTATTATCTCATTGAAAAATACATGACAGTACTCATACTTCGGTTAAGTGACTTCTTCCGCAACTCAAATTAGGGAATAGTGAAACCATTTGTGAATGACTTAATTATTTCCTTACTGTTATTCAAATACTCATTGCTGTTTCCTGGTACATCTTATAAGAATAATAATTGCTTTCTATAGATTAACATTTTTTATTAAACTATTAAGTTATTATATTCTTGTCTTTGAAACAATAAAATATTAATGATAAACAGAAAAATTCCTACATTATAATTGAGCTTATCTTCCTCAAAGATTTATTATACATGCTTGTTTGTTGAAATTTATTTATTTTTGACAAAGTATTTATAACCTTTTAAAGTACTTTAAATAAGAAAAAAAATGGATCTCTGATCGTTTAAAAAAGTAGCCAAAGATTACTAGATATTTAATTTTTCCTTTGCCTTTGTTTGCACCATTATTCATGTGTTTATCTGATATCCGATAGTGATACAATTTTATAAATTCAATGCAGTACTACTACTAGAGACATTTGAATGAATTTTATACTTTAATTATTAAAATAATTTTCTACTTTTTTAACTACACTGTTAGCGAGTTAATAAAAAGTTATGGATGTCTTAAGACCTTTTTGAACTAATGAGATGAATGAACATATACCTGTACATCGGAGAAATGGTTTTAAACAACAATTATAGAAAACCTTTTTTGACCAAATAACCATTCTCCCAGATGAGCCCTGCACCATTTGGAAAATTCAAGTGGTCTAACGGACCAGTTGCCTGTAAAATTAGGTGGTCCTTGCCAAAATCAGGTGGTCTCAGACCAATGGACCACCGCTAATGTTGAGGCCTGACATGTAGGTAATCATTTTTCTACCCGTAGAAATATCTTTTTGCCTAAAACATTTCAAGATAGATAATTATGTTCCACCTATTCAATTTCACCTACAGTACAGTACCATCTCATTCTGTGAGATTAGTAAACATGTCCTATATTAACAATACCATCTTTTTCCTACAGGATGGATATACTTTTCCAACATACCATACCATTTATTTATAATTTGCCTACAAGAGTTGAAGACATGTATACCCATGTTGGAATCCTACTCACAGTACCATTTACATGTACTGGATCAATAAATCTGTCCTACACCAGGTTTTATGGGCATTTTTATCATGTTTTTGGTCTTACTTTCATTTTTCAGGACAATGTAATAATAAAGAATGTCCATTTCTACACATTGATCCTGAACAGAAAGTTAAAGACTGTCCCTGGTATGACAGAGGATTCTGTAGACATGGTGAGTATTATTATCTTATTCTAAAAATAGTGACCAGTCATCCTGCTGTTACACAACTTACACTGTTACTTTCTCTTGTCGGTAGATTGACAAAAGAGTAGAATGTTAGGGTATCTGTAACCTATGGGTACATTTCTAGTTGCTTAAAGATTCCCAAAATATCGTATGATATGATGATTCAACAGATTACTTAATTATGAAATGATGATTTGTGGTGTTGTTGAGTGGTTAATGCGTCAGTTATAGTAATTTAAGGAATGCTGGGTTCAAACTGGGTCAGGACCAAACTGTTCATTCCTTGAGCAAGAAAATTTACATTGCTTAGTACTGGTTGGTTCCAGGAATGGATTAGAGAGTGTTTCAATAAATTTATAGCTGCCAACATGATTGAACTAAAATAAATTCTGTCTAAACTGTTTAATGTTGTTTCTTTAGGGAAGTATAATTTTAGCTAACATTTTCTGTTTCTATGAACTGTTACTGATATAATCGTTGATCATTTCAGGACCAAATTGCAAGAACCGTCATGTGCGAAGGCTGATATGTCAAAACTACCTATGTGGATTCTGTTTAGATGGACCAAAATGTAAATTCATGCAGTAAGTTTTAACTCTATAGTTTTGTAGCTTATTCTCTCCGATTTCATTAGCTTTAATTGTTTGTAAAATTCTTTTTTAACAGACTGATTTAACGTAAGAAATTGATGTAGTACAGGAGTTCAAGCTTGCCATTGTGAAAAATATTAGAAAAGTAGGAAATGTTAGGGTTGCGTCACTTAGTACATGTATGACTTCTTTATTTTACCTCTTAACCTGCTCAATTTCTGTAATGGACTTGCTCGGCTTTTAATTTGGAACAGTCCATTCATAGATTAAGGGATTTCATTATGAAAATTAAAAAATGGAACAGCTGCCAGCAGTTTAGAGGCTGGTTCTATACTGGTAGCAAAGGCTAATCATTTTCTGTAACAGCAGCTTAAAGATTAAGATTCTTTTTTCTACAGTCCTAGTTATGATTTGCCAGTACAAGATGAAAAAACAAAGAAATTCCACCAGACAGTTACATGCCACAATTGTGGGGAGAGTGGTCATAAGTCCTACCAGTGTCCAAAAATTACTGCCAACTCTGTACCCAGTGTTGTTTCAACTAGTGCAACTACAATAGAAATAAAGGTATTTGTTTGTATTATGTATTGATATTATTTGGATATATTAAATTGATATTATTTTATATTATTTGGGTATTATTAATTAATATTACTTGGATAGTCTTTATTGATATTATTTTGATAGTGCAAGTTTTTATTGATACTTGGATAATATTTATTGATTTTATCAGGATAGTATTTATTGATATCATTTGGATGATATTGATATCATTTGGATGATATTGATATCATTTTGATAATGTTGATTGATATTATTTAGATAATATTTATTGATATTATTTTGATATTATTTATAGATATATGTATCATATTATTTGGATATAAAAGTACTTCATAGAATAATTTCTTTGTTTTAAAGTATTACTGCATGTGTTACATGATATGCGTCTTTTATCACATAAACCGCGGCGCAGGAGTGTAATAAGCCATTTAATAAAAAAGATATTACACTAGTGTAATAACACTTTGATGTGACATCATTTGCGTTATATAGAAACATAGCGTTAAAGCGCGCTAATGTTAGCGTTACACTATAGGCGTATCATTGAAAAATTACTCATTTTTACAGTTTACTGTTCTTATTTTATATATGTGACAAAAAGAATATTATATCCGTGCAGATTCAATACTAAATTTATTGAACTTGTTGAATAAAACAATATCATGCTTGCCACAGGCTAGCATGGTATGATTTTATTCAACTTGTTCAATAAATTCAGTATTAAACTACACTCATTCAATATACTCTATGTAACTGTTGTATAGGAAGCAAGGGAGATTACACTTAAAAAGTAGTAATTCTGGCAGGTCAAGGGGTCAAATACTGATTAATTAAGGGCTGTAAACATTCATTTAGCAATAAATTGATGATTTGTCCAAATAATGCGTTATAATAATCTCCAATAATTAACTATTTTGTACGACAATATTTTTGCAGCCGGGTGCAACTCGTATTGGTGCTGGTATACCAGGAAGTGGATATCACTATGGCAGAGGGGCTTACTCTCACAGGGGACAACCTAGGCTTGGATTCACTTTTAAACCAGATAATGAACCGAACCAGAATCTTGACTTTGTCACATGTTTCAAAGTAGGTGTATTGATTTTTTGTACATTTTGATGTTTAAGTTAAAGAAAGAAGCGACTTTTAAATTTATCTTTATGTGTATATACTTATATTCTCACTGTGCCGTTTATGATGAAAAAATGATACATTTGGTTTATTTAAAGCGGCATGCCTTCAGATGGGTGAAATGATTCTTCAAAAAAGTCTTGAGAAAAATATATTTAAAGTTTGGAAAATATATGAATATTTGCACTACAGGTGTTAAAAACACTGAATGTATCATGCAAAATATATGACAATTTACTGTTTTGATCACCTAACTTTAACGTTGTCACTTTTGAAATTTAAGAAATATCTGTATAGTTTGAAAAGTTAGAAGTTTATTTCTGTAACTGCATTAGAAAAGGTTATATCACTTGATTTGTACACTTGAAATCCAGACATTTTTGAAGTTTTCATCATAATCATCAAGAATCTGGAGGCATGCTGCTTAAGCTTAATCTTTTTTATCTGTTCATTGTACTTTTTAGACTACAATAAGAACATTTTAAAGAACTATCACATAGTGATGATAGAGAGATTTGATTGATATTATGTTAACAAATGCTAAACTTTTAAAATGTAATCTTCTTTTTTGTTTTCAGTGTGGATTAAAGGGCCACTATGCAAATAGATGTCCAAAAGGAGATCTGGCGTTCCTTAGTTCATCAAATGTGCAGCCAGCATCATAACTTAGTTTATTATCATTGCTGATTATTCGACATAAAATATCATAATTCATATTGTAAAGATTGATTAATCAAATTCATTGTTTATAGATACATTAATTGTCTGACATGTTTTGTTAAAGAAAAAAATAAAATGAAATAAAAATTGATGGAGGTTTTTGTGTTTGTTTTTTGTCACCATGTGTTAGTGAGACTATATCTTTATATGCAGGGGTATAAAGATATCTTATGAAATATTTCTATAAAATTTTATCAACAGTAAAATTATATTGGTTTCATAATCTTAAGGTTGATTCTCGAAAGAATTGTAACATAGAACATCTCTGTTATCTAACACACATAAATATTGTATATAATAGAATACAATGTTCCGCAACAAGATACTGCTATTTTAAGTAGGCTTTCATCTGTTTAGCAATGATTTTTTGTATGCACCATTCAATTCTAAGGCAATTTACTAGAATATTTATTTTATACTTTTGTTTTGGAAGATTTTTTTAAATTTAGACAATAATTTTAGCACTTGATATATAGCTTTATACACTTTGAGAATGAAAGTAATTCCTAACAAGACTGAGAGGTTCAGGATTAACTGAAATAATTCTCAAGTTGAATCCAGCATTGTTTCCAAGATGTTAAACATTACTAAAGTTTTCTCAATACAAGAAAAGGGATATGTTATAATAGATCACCCAAAGATCACTCCAAAATTTATGTACAAGATATTTTTTCTGACAATTTGCACATCAATATGTAGGAAAAGATGTCGCTGCTTGGAACAGTTTTGTCTAACAAGATATTTTTTTCTGACAATTTACATATCAATATGTAGGAAAAGATGTCCCTGGTTGGAACAGTTTTGTCTAACAAGATATTTTTTTCTGACAATTTACACATCAATAGGTAGGAAAAGATGTCCCTGCTTGGAAAAGTTTTGTCTAACAAGATATTTTTTTCTGACAATTTACACATCAATATGTAGGAAAAGATGTCCCTGCCTGGAACAGTTTCGTCTAATGAGTTGATGTGATTTGTAAAATAATTCAAGAGTTCATCTATATTTTATTATTAAAAGAAACTATTAAATTCAACAGGCTTTGTGGCACAGCAGTATAATTATATTACCCACGTGGTCAATTCCATTATCTCCATAAATTGTAAAATAATAATTACCGTTTAATATTTTTTTACTTTGTACTAGTTTTCACATGCAATTAACCAGCAAGAAGTATATGTACTGTTATTAAACTGAAACAACCAGTGCAGGGACGTTCCTGGCCGAGTGGTTAGGGTTGTTGACTTCAAACCACTTGCTCCTTACCACTGTGGGTTTGAGTCCAGGAAGGGACATTGGATCTTTTCATGTTAGAAAGCTATCCCACTCTTATCGAAGGTTTGCGGTTCTGCTCAAGTGCCGATCCGAGCCTCAAATAATGCATGGAGGGGCACATGAGTGCATGTAACATTCCCCCCCCCCCCCCCAACAAAAACAAGAATAAAATACACTGTTATGGTTAGAGACTCTTTATTAACAACGTCTATTCTTTCAGATTTTGGACATACTTGAAGACACCATATAATTATAATTACAAACTTCTTGAGGTAATTTAATTGCTAATTTCTCATTTTATATCAACAATAAGTCAGTGACAATTTTACAATTTCTGCAATTAGAAGGTATTCCTTGACATAATTCCTGTTTCAAACTCACAATACTTGTCTTGTTTGTGAATTTAACTTACAAATAAAAATAATACAAAGCATGTTCTTTTTTCATTAAATAGTAGTACTGAATTTAAAACTTTGAATTTCAAATAGATTACTTCATTGCGAAATCAACTACTTGTGCCACTTATTTAAGAACAACGGACACCTTGGTCTGAATTTTCATCTTAAATATGGTCACAATATGATAACATAATATTCCATTGAAATTCTAAATCAGAACTATTCAACACACTCTTCCCAAATCCCCATAAAATCAGCCTTCTTCCCCATCCCCCATAAAATCAGACTTTCTTTTTCTTCCCTTTGAATTTATTCTTCTTCTTTTCCACCATCTTCTTTTTCCTCTTCTTTCTCTCCATCATTATATCAAATGGTGTTTTCCCTTCAGTTTTTGACTTCTTTTGGTTTTTATCATTTGAAGTTCTATCATTTTTCCCTTTAGTGAATTCACGTTTGCCTTTTGAGCTTTTGTCCCCTTTAGCTACATTGTCAGTTTTTTTGCCTTTCACATCAATTTTCCTCTTCTTTACAACTGGATTTCTTTCTGTTACCAGTTTCTTCCGTTTGTTTTTCCCGGGTACGAAAGAATCTGTAAAACAATTATAATATATAAAATGTTATTAAAATTTGTTGATATATTCATTAAATAAGTCATAAAAACAAGACTATCCTTTATGCTGCTGAATATTAATAATGGAACTTATCCTTCTTTGCATAGAAAATTAGAATTTAGAGGAACTATAGTTAAGTGACGAACATATTTGTTTGTTTGTTTGTTTCATTTTACGCCTTTTCCTAACAGTATTTCAGTCATATAGGCAGGTAGTTTCCTAACCATCGTTCCTGGAGAGATGACGAACATAAGTTTATGGTCTGGTCTGACTGCGAAGAAGTGCTGACCCACCTGACTTTGTTTGTTTGTGTTTGGTTTTATTAGGCACCAACACAATTAGATCTTATGGTGCAGAAACAGAAAATTTCATTTTGGTGAACCTCGAGGGCTTTAAACTTCAAAGCAATGCCAGGGTCAAAACCACCTCACCTACTAGAGCTAAGATATACATAGACTCCAGTTATTCACATCCATTAGGTCGCCTCTTGATATCATGCAGGGATATATGGTGGCTGCAATTCTTAGGTCACAACCCTTAAAAGGCAATCCCTTTGCCACAAGCATTTCAAGTTTCATAGGCAAATATATATATAATTCATTAGCTATTTATCTTATGGCGCTAAAAGCTTCAAATGGGAAATATTTCAAGAAAGAGTATTTATACATGTATATTAAAGTTTTAAATATAATTATCGAAAGGGTTATTTGATTTTGTGTTTACCACTTATAACATAGAGCAAACAAATATGATTTTAATTAGACTTCAATTGAAAACCAATGGCCTCTTTGTTTGTCAGATTTCTACGAAGATTTGAACGCATCTCAGCAGTAAGTCCACCTAACCGTTCACTTCCAGCAGTTATTGTGAAGAACTTAACAATGCACTACCTCCTAACAACAGCTATAATTAAATATTTTATAAAGAAAATATAAGAAATGACAAATGAGCCCTGTCACGACAAAACCAACATAGTGGGTTTGCGACCAGCATGGATCCAGACCAGCCTGCGCATCCGCGCAGTCTGATCAGGATCCATGCTGTTCGCTATCTGTTTCTCTACTTGTAATAGAGTTGGTAAGCGAACAGCATGGATCCTGATCAGACTGCGCGGATGCGCAGGCTGGTCTGGATCCATGCTGGTCGCAAACCCATTATGTTGGTTTTGTCGTGACACGGCTCAAATATAAAACATACCAGCATCTGGCAAATGGCCAACTTCCTGTTTGTAATAATCAATGTCATCATCTTCATCAGCAGGTACTGAAATATATGAATATCGCAAAATTTTTTATATTTCCTTTTAGATGAGTTTGAAGTCAAATGACACTGAAAGACTACATGGTGACATTCCAACTTTTCAGATGGAGGGAGGCCATATATTTCCATCAACACATTTTTTCAAGCACAAACTGGCACATAAATAATATGACATTTATCATTGACTAATTTTCAAATTTTTGGTGTCTCAGGAAAAAATAATGAGTTCTTTTAAATGATTTTATCAGATAAAATGAGACTTGTGGTAAGACAAAGACATAAATTGTAACTTTTGATTTTTGAAACCCTTTCAATTTTAAATAATTTTTTATTACATAATCTTACACTTAGCTGTATAGATTGAATAGTTTATGATCCACTGTTCTTGATGATATAAGCTTAATACTAGGTACACCATGTAACTTATCAACACCTTGAATTATTTGTTTAATTCATGAAAAACAGTGCTAGGTTACATTGATTAATCATCATAAAATGTACAATTCCCTTTCTCCTCCCTGTTTAGATTACTACAGGGTACCATAATGGTGAGAATGTTAAACCAAGGAGTCTGGAATATAGTGTTTTCTCAATTATGCACTAACAACAAACACGTATATGATATATTGGATAAATTCACAGGCCTGCAGTGAAGTAATAACAACATTCATAACTCTTAGGATCTACAATCGATTAGACAGTTTGCCGGCATTTTAAGAAACATGATAATTGTTTACTCCTAGTGTCTTGTTGACATGATATCAATTGATGTCCATGGCCGAGTGCTTCAGTTTTACATTTGGTAATGATGTTTAAAATTGGCTATCAGACACAATTCCATCAACGCTTGACTTCCAATTTAAAAAAAAACACACCAAACTGGCAATGCCAATATAAATATGTATACATTTATTATATTTCTCAGAATGTTAGCGTTATCGAACCTACCTAATGTTTCAGGCTGTTCCACTTCATCCTCCATGTTTTTTTTCCTGATACCCTCTAAACTTTTCTCTTTATGTTTCTCCTTCTCAAGTTGTTTTTTCTGTATATTTGCTTGTTGATTTTGGCGTCTTGTCTCCTTCGCCTTCCTGTAATCAGAAAAGTTGTGGTATTGAGAAAGGATCATTAACAAACTTGAAATACTTGTTTACTACCAAGGGCAAGTTAATTCTGTCAAAAAGTTTTGCAGAATTATGCCCCCTTTTTTACTTTGATCATCCTACCCAGCATGAAAAAAGAGGATCATGCTGTTCCCCAGAAAACTCTTGTAACATATTATGTCAAAATTGTATGTTTATATATATATGTCATATAACATTACTGGCATATAACTGTGTTTGTTTGTTTGTTTCATTTTACGCCTTTTTCAACAGTATTTCAGTCATATAGGCGGGTAGTTTCCTAACCATGGTTCCTGGAGAATTACACCAGTACTAGACTACCTTCCTCCGCGCTAAACTACCAAAGCATCTCCCGGGGATCGAACCCATGCCAGAGAGGTAACTGGATTAGAAGTCATCGACTCTAACCCCTCGACCACGGAGGCGGTTTA